ATGGATTTAATGTAAATTAGTTTTATATATTATTTTTATATATAGAGGTAATCCTATATTAAATATGTTATTGCTTTAATAAAGCTTTTATCATTAATTTTAATATTAGTACATCTTTATTACATACTGACATGCCTTTTTTCAAAAAACATTTGCATGTTTATACTGATTGGAATCATCATTTTTATCACTTTTAATATACATATAATTCTATACATAAATTTTGCATTATCTAAATTTTGTAGGTGAAAATTGTAAAATACAATAAATTATTTCTTGCATCAGTTATCCAGGCTATTTCTGATTTTCTTGATGAGCAGTAAAACATATATCAATATTGCTCTCTATATGACAAACTTCTCATTTTTATTAATAACTCAGTTTAATGAATTGAATGAGATTTTAGTATGTTTTGTAAAATCATTTGCAGCTATCAGCACAAACATAAACATACATCCTTACAGTATGCTTGTATCATTTTCTAAATGGCAATTTAGGATTAAGAAGCTTATCAATGGTTCAATTGAGGTAAATTAGGTTTTAATGGTCAGAGTACAGAAAAGCGAAAATCAAGCAAAATATATACTATATTAATGTTGCTAGCTAAAGTTTGGCTGTAAAGCTCATGTGCTATCGTGCGTTTATAATTCAAGAGTCGTTTTAATAAGATTCCGCGAGCATGAAGCTATTCTTTATTCCTTTTCACTAAATTAAAGAATATTTACTCGATAGACTGGAGAGATTGCAACTTTTTTATCTCGTTAACGATCGACACTTTCGATGGCGTAAAATAAGTTGCTCTCATAAAATCAATTTTGCGATGATGTGGTTTACTGTTTCCGACCCTTTATGTAAAATGTCATAAAACGGATTCAGAGCGTTCCCGTGCGGAAATAATGCTCTTGCTTTCTGAACAACATTGTCCTTCATCAGAATTTTCATTAGTATCCGTCATTTACAAATATGCATATATAAAAACGAATATCGAGAGTTTCCATTACTTTCAAGAAATATAATACCTCCAGCGTTTCTTGCAAAGAAGACAAATTACAGAGTTGATTTGGAAATGCAAACGTGGGACCCTCAAAGCCGAAGTACAGTCCTTCATCGAGTAAATCTATACCAATAATTTGACCGTAGAGCTCTAATATAATGTTAGTGAGCATTAATCTTTATCGGCACGATTCATGTGTGAATGAATGACTTACCAGCAAATTGCAGCCCAATTACTACGGAATCTTCGACTGCTTCCTCGGATAGACTATTGATAAGGTATTTGTCAAAAACACGCTTGTTTGTCCTCAGAGATTTGCTACGATCTTTAGTGATCTTGATGCGCGTGATCATTCGTGCACATTCGGAATGGCTAAGCTCGATGTTCTTCTCTCGACAAATAATCCTTAGATCAATTTTTCGACGAGTTCCCTTGCAAACCGTATCCCCCTATGATGTTGCAAAATGAGCATACGATCCAATTGACAAGCTGACTAACACACTTACCATTTGAGTTGAAGTAGTTGCTGAACATCAGAGAAAATTATGTCCAGTATAGGGCCGATGATCTTGACTATATAGTCCATCTCAGATAGATTTTGCTTCTTGCCCTCCTTGCTCACGAAAACGTGAGGGTCCCTAAGGAACATGTCCAGGCTAATAAGAAAATTAAACACAATTTCAGTATAATATGAGGTCACAGATACACACAAGCAGTTACAATACGTACACAAAAAAATAACATCTCATCACTTGTTTATATAAACATTCTGTTGGCTGATCCAACATTCTACCCAGCACGAATTTTCGCGTCTCATAATACTGATAAGATGCGCAACACTGAATCATTTGGAAGAAACTAAATTACTCTGAGGTTCAACACGTCAACATGTAATTTGCATACGCACCTCCATGATTTTTTTGATATCAGTTGTAAGAGGGTCTTCAAATTTCCTGATCGTGATGTTCAAGTGTTCCAATGCTCTGGCTTTGAGGGCTGACCAATGCTCCCCAAACCATTCGTACATGCCTCCTGGGAATTCTGAGAACAGATCGATGATCGACGAAAGGCCAAGACTATGACAGATATCCAACAATTTAGTTTGAATTTATGCTGTAAGTGGCAGAGGGGAAAACATACTGGATAACGCTAAGGGTACATGCATCTCGTTTTTCCGAATGCTTTACTTGTTCTATGGCCTTTGAGGTCATAGAAGATAGTACATTCAATATCTTTTCCCAGTCTCTAACATCCATCCTCCTTTCTCATTGTTCTCTGTGAAGATATTTGAGTCAAAGTTGATGCCAATATCATTGCCGTTGTCATCCGAGCTGCTGCTAAAATCCTCCCCATCATCATCCTCCTCGTGCTCGCTATCAGATGATTCGCATTCGTGCAAACGAATTCTCAAATGCTGGGCAAAAAAAAGGAATGTTGACCACTTAATTCCCCGATCATTTTCAACGTGTCTGAATATTTTCCCTTACTGGCCTATCTTCCGGCAAATTCCTTAATTTTCGCTTGCCACGCACCACAGGAGAAGGCTTTGATACGTTATATGTAGGCCTTGGAGGTGACATCTTTGGTTTAAAAAAGAAATTATATTAGACAGGTATCATCACAATGAGCTCATGATAACAGAAACCTCTTGAATTTTTTCTTCCCATAATGTTCAACTGCAGTTCAGAACTTACTATGTTTTTTGTTACGGAAGCAGACAGCACTTCGGCTTCCTCATCTCTTGGCTAAAATTAAGGATAGAAAGCAAAATAGAGTTATGGTGAGTTATACCGTTTCTGCTCATAAAGCGTATACATGCATAATGTTTTCTACATTTACACGCACTTGTTTTGGCAAAAACGAACTTGAGACTTCTCGCATAACCACCGAGGAAACGAGTGAGCCATTGGTTTTAGATTCCCTTTTGACATCTCTAATAACTTCGACTTTCTCTTGGTTGTTCTGCTCACCTAAAACGTCATCGCTGTCTCGTGTAACTAAATTCCTGCGTATTCGGGGCTCGTATGTGGTATGCTGGTCACAATAAAGAGGTTAGAAAAATACAATTCAGAAAAGGGTCTCCTACAAACGAGTTCACTTCAGTACCAGTACGTACCGCCCGACCGATAATGTTAAGGTGCCCTAACGAAGCCGTTCGTACTGCAGCTTTTTCTTCTTCCCTCTGTTTTCGCTCTTCATCAATTCTCTTCCAAAATCCAGAAACAGCCGCTGACTTTTTCTCTACCTTTTAAGAGAGGAAAATAGTAAGTACAGGAGTAAGAGTGAAAAATTACATTAGGCATTACAGCTTTATAGATATGGATCCAGATCATCTGAGCCAAAAGATCATCACAAGAACAGCCATAAGATGTTCTTGCTGGATGAAATGAAGTCCGATATCCGAGGATTTCAGCTGAACCAGAAGTTCATCACAAGAACAGCCATAAGATGCTCTTGCTTGGCTAAGCCCAAACCGATCTTCCACCGAACCAGAAGTTCATCACAAGAACAGCCATAAGATGTGCTTGTTAGGTGAAAGTTTGGAAAGTCGTAAGCCTAAAGAAGAAAAAACAACCGCCTGACCTCAAACTTATCTGTAATGACAGCGATCTTTGCGTTGGCTTCATAGTTCACAATTTTCTGAAGAGTGGCCAAATAACCATCGTGCTCAAGTCGGCAATCTTCCGTAAAAGAAGATTGTTCTTCTCGCCGGGTAAGATAGTCGTAAAGGTAATTGTCAGAATTGTTGTTGAGTATGGCCCGGACGATTACTGCCCTATCCGTTGCATCCATTTTGGATAGAAGTCGCGTTTTGGAAACCAGATTATCAATCCAAATCCAGCACTATAATTGGGCGGAAAGTGTGATCACGTGATGATGATGACACGCTGTAAAATCACATGTGGCTGCTTTGGTCAGAATATAACGATAAGCTTTTTGAATAGTGCAAATGGTTTGCTCGCGATTAGAAAAAACCATGTATTAGTATGTCTTTTTGAGTATTTGAAAATACGTTGCAGCAAGTGTTTTTGTTTTTGGAATGTGAATTCATCTTGCTTTTATACACGAATGCTAGTCACATTCGCTTAGAACTAGCAATAGGTCTAAAATGTCACTAAAATTTAGTCTTAATTAGTG